AAACAAAGATAAAACAAAACTGGCGAAAATGACTGATAACAGGATTTAGGTTCTTTAGCCCCATTTTTTTTTTTTTTTTTTTTTTTAATAAAAAAGGCCACACAGGTTTAAAGTCAGGCTCCAGAGAGAAAACAGTTTTTGATATGTTGTAGAACTGATTTTTGCTAAGAGAGAAAAAATTAGTTTGACAAAAATCTTGGGAACGGTGAATGAGACACAAATTTTTGCATATTTAAAAACGGGGTAAAAGGGGCCGCCCCTTTTTATACCTTTCCCCCAGTTTTTAGATATTCTAAAATTTGTATCTCATTCACCCTTTCCCAATTTTTCGTCAAACAACTTTTTTCTGTCATAGAAAATTCAGTTCTACAACTTATCAACAAACATTTTTCCTCCGGAGTCTGACTTTAAAAATAAAATAAAGTAAAAATATGTTTTATTAACAAGTTCTTTTGTTAATTACAGGGTGGTATTAATGCTGCTTTGGGAAACATGGAACCAGATGACTGGAGATGGCATATGTTAGTAGATTAGATCATTTGTGTACCAATTTTTACATTTTTTTTCATGAAAATAATTTACAATTTCCAATAAGAATTATTAATTACCAACCACTATACAATTTTCTTTCTGTCTCCCTCAAACTCTTTTAAACTCTAAACAGTTTATTTTGTATTAAAATTTTTATTTAATTAGGTATGATACAGTGAAAGGTTCTGATTGGCTAGGTGACCAGGATGCCATACATTACATGACAGAAGAAGCTCCGAAGGCTGTTATTGAAGTAAGCAATACAAAATTCTGCAAAATATTTATTACAATCTTCGGCAAATGGGTGAGAGGTAGCAACAATAATAATGTGTATTTTACAACATACAGTAAATGAAAAGATATATTGAAAATTTTACAATGATATTTTTTGAGCCTGTTGTCTACTGCATCAGCTAACAAGTTTGATACAACGCTAATTTTTATACATTGATTATGAATTATATTTAAACCATAGGGCTTATTGAAATGATCATAATGGAATTGTTGGTACTTTTTCAATTAGGATTTAAACTTGTGTTTACATCTAGGTTTCTCTTGAGAAAATCCCACACAAACCAAAATTAATGTAAAACATAGAAATCATCTGAAACAGTTTTAACTTTACCACTTTCAGTTAGAAAATTATGGAATGCCGTTTAGCAGGACTGAAGAAGGTTTGATATACCAAAGAGCATTTGGAGGCGGTAGCTATGATTATGGAAAGGGTGGCCAGGCCCATAGATGCTGCTGTGTAGCAGACAGGACTGGGCATTCTTTACTGCATACTTTATACGGACAGGTACGTTGATCTACCATGTATCCGGGGGTAAGTACTTCACTTTTTCCAATGGACTGTTACTAAGCGCCATCGTTTGGATTTTATATTTAGGTTCACAAAAATGACGGCCTAAACATATTGTACATGAACTTTTGCGTTTATGGGACATTCACGTAATACTGTACCTTTTCAGTTGTTAAGTTTGATTGGCATTTTGTAAAGTGATATACTATATGAAAATAGATCAGCTTACACTTCT